TGATGGTGCCGTTCAGCTCTGACAGCATCTCCTCCACCGGGCCTGGGATCGGCAACTGCTGGCACAGGTGCTCGGCACGCCGGATCTGCTGCCGGTTCTGCCAGATGATCTCTGCCAGCTTCTCACACCTGGGGGGAGCAGGGCTCAGCATGTACTGGGGCTCAGCACCCCATCCCATCCCACCCCACCCCACCAGGCACTCACCAGGTCTGCAGCACATCCAAGGTGCCTTCGGGTGGGCCCCCATTCCCCGCCAGTTGCTGCCGACGCTTCCACTGGATCAGCTCATCATCCAGGATGGTTGTTTGCTGCTTGCGCAGCAGCTGCAGCGTCTTCTGGTGCTTCTCAGCCAGGTCCTGCGAGGTGGGACAACGTCAGGGCTGCAGGGGCAGTGTCACAGGGCATGACAGGGACAGCATCACGGGGAACCAAGAGGCATCACTCACCACACGGTACTGCTGTAGTGTCTGGGCCTCGCGGTGCAGCCAGGCCTCCAGCGATGCCTTTTTCTGCTGCAGCGTCGTCTCCCGTGACAGGCGCTCCTGGGGGCCCAGCTGGGACAGCTGGGAGAACTGGGCTGGGGGACGGCACGGTGTTAGGGCTGGCCCTGCCAGCACCCCAGGCCCATGCCCCTCGGACCCCCACCCACCCTGGAGTCGCATGTTCTCCTGGTACTGGATGATGAAGTATTCCTGTGTCTGCTGCAGCTTTTTGAGCTCATTCTCAGAGTCCTGCGTGATGAGCCGCAGCTCCTCGAAGGTCTGGTTGATCTGCAGGTGCTTCTGGGACATGGCGTCCACCAAGGAGCCGGACGGAGAAGGGCTCTGCACGGGGCACAGAGTGTGCTCAGCACAGCGAGGGGACCCTCCCTGTCCCCTGCCTCAGGGCTGCTCCCATCATGATGGAGAAGAGCCCCTGAGCATCCCCCCAACCCTGCAGAACCCTCACCCGCACTCACATTGTTCGCCTCCCGCACCAGCCGCTGCTCGTGGTAGAGGATGTGCCGGATGCAGCGCACCAGCTCCATGGGGCATCTGTCGTACGTGTTCTGTGGGGAGAGCACTGCCTGAGCCAGGCACAGGGCAGGGACCCCCCTGGCCCTGCACCCCTGCCCACAGCCCCCCACTCGCCTGCAGCTGTGTGGCGTAGTGCCCCAGCTTGATCTTCAGCAGGAAGCCGTCCTCACCCACTTGGTGGTCTGCCTTCTTCTGCAGCTCCTGGATCAGCCCCTCCAGAAGCTGTGTCGCTTTCACATTCTCCTGAGGGTTGTCAAGGTCGATGGAGTCCCTGAGTGTGGAGCAGAGCGGTGTCAGGGCAGCCTGGCAGTGGGGAGCACCCACCTGTACCCCCGGGGCAGCCGCTGCCAAGCCGGCACCCCCTGGGAACAGGAGCCGTGACCTACCACGCCTGGCTCTCGATCCACTGCGACAGGTAGTGCCGCACCTCGATGGGGAAGTGCTGCCCATAGAGCGCCTGCATCTGCCGCAGGGCTTCCCCCTGGAGCTGCTGGGCCTGGATCCACACCGCCATGGTTCAGCACCTGCACGAGAGGCACCATAAGGGCACCAGCAGAGACAGGCAGGCACTGTGCTGCAAGGGGTCTGGCCCTGGCTGTTCCCACACCCTCTGCAGGAGTGTTCGGAGTTCCTGGTGCTGCCAGCGCTGTCTCCAGCTGCTGAAAGAAAGGGCATGTGGGGGCAGAGGACCCTGGCTCTCAGTCACCCCTCCTCTTTTCTAGGAACAGCCCTGGGGGTGCCCAGGGCCAGGGATGTGCCTCTGCACGGCCTCTCCACATGGTTCTCATTTCCCCTCACTGCACCACGGGATCGCAGCCATCACTGGCCACGCAAATGAGGAAACAGGCCAGGGGGAGGAAGGGCTGGCCAGAAATCCAGGGTGACGCAGAGCAGAGGCCCCCCCTGCGCTCACCCCGCTCCTGCCCACACCCTGGCAGTGCCAGCAGGCAGGAGCAGCCCCAGCCCCAAGAGCCCACGTGGCACTTCCGTCCCTGACAAGTCCCCAGTCCCAGGGCCACTGTGTGCCCCATGTTCTGGGGGAGATGCATGGACCTTCCCAAAGAACTTTTGGGGTAGCTCTGGCTCCCCAGGGATCCCACCCGCCACAGCCTTGGCTCCCCCAGGGGCAGGCAAGGATGGGATGGTGGCAACAGCACCTCTACTGAAATCCAGCGTGCCCCCTGGGTCACCTGTGGCTCGAGAGGGCTGGAGAAACAACCTGCAGTTGAGTGTGTGAGGGTGATATGATGGTGAGTGACATAGGAGGGCCTGGGGGGCTCAAGGTCCCCCTTGAGTGAGGAGGCAGCAGTAAACAGCATTTAGATACACTCACACCCAAACCACCTGGGATTTGGCACCACACAGAGGGGCCAGGCAGGGGCACAAGGTCTTGGACATGTCCCAAGGCCAGGACCTGATCACTGAACTGGCTGGTGACAAGCAGAGGGACTGAGCCGGTGGGGACTGTGCTTCCCCCTCTCCCCAAAGCATTTTTTTCAGCCTCAGAAATACCCAGTGGCCCAGAGGGCTCCAAAAGAGCTGGCACTGTCCTACAGTCAGGGGCACATGCTGGGGGACAGTGGCAGCAGCTCTGAGCAGAGCAGCCACAGCCAGAGCCCCCGAGCCAGGCACACCCGCCCCTGAACAGGAAGAGGAACAATAACCCAGAGCTGGCTAAAAATGAATTTTTCCCCTATAAAAAGGGAGGAACCTTTCCACATTCACAGAAATCACCAAGCTGGAAATGCTGCTGGCAAGGAGGGGCCTGGGGAGGCAGAAGAACACCGGCAAAGAGAAAAGGAAAGGTGGGATGGCTGACAGCAGGACATGCTGCTGTTGGAAATTGCAGAGGCTTGATAAGGGGCAGAGCCAGGAACAGCCATGCCAGTGCCACTGCACCACAAAGTGACCGAAGTCCCCGGTGCTGTGGGGACATCCGCACGGACACAGAGCAAACAGACACTGCCCCGCCTGTTGATAAAATGGTGATCTCTTCCCATCTCACAGTGACAAAACACTTCCTACTCCACTCCAGCATGTTGTTAAGCAACGAGTCTCTGGCTGCTCTGTGGTGAGCTGGCAGGCTCCACATTTGGCCAGTGCCAGCCTGGGAGCAGGAGCACCAGCCTCACATCTGCCTCTACAAGGGGCTGAGCAGTGGCTGATGGTGCAGAGCTCACCTGGTGTGTCCCAAAACACCATCTGCACCAGGCTTGAGCACAACCTCCACAGACATTGTCAATGCAGCAGAACATGCAATTTCTCCTGGGGGGAATCTGTCTCATTTTTGTCTCTGTGTCTCACCAGTGGACAAACCAAACCTCCCCATGGGCTGCAGGGTACCCTGACCACCCCAGCACACGCAACCAGTGCCACCAGCCATGGGCAGACCTTTGACCCTGAGACTCAACATGGCTGGGGCAGTAATTCAGTTTTAGCATAAGCTGCAGCACCATGATCCCTCTGCACAGCTGGAGCTGCCACTGCCAGCCTCTCCAGGCAGCCCTGCCTCCTGCCCCTGGCTGCTGCTGGCAGCCACTGCCCTGGCTTGGATCATGCCTAACATCACTTTCCAGCATCATGCTCCTCGGTGGCACCACCAGCTGCCCGAGGGATGGGAGCCCAGGGACGAATTCACCTGACATCCAGGGACAGTCACTCACCCCAGTGCCACCTCCAGCCCACCAGCCCCAGCAGGGCCATGCAGCCTCAAGCACTGCCATGGCTCAGCCATGCACGGCAGCCACCGGCCCCACGCGCTCTCCAACAACTGCAAGAGGCAGATAATTGTAGTGGTTTAGGCTACTTTGCATTTACTCGCCGGCAGCGAGCTGGAACCCACCCGTCATTGCAGCTCGGTTAACCAGCAGCACTCGACAAGCCACAGCAACGCGCTCATTTATTGCCTGTGAAGCGGCACAGGCGGACGGCAGCTTCACGGGGTAGGACCACTGCTGAGGACACCGACCCCAGAGCTGTGGGGACAGACCCCAGCGCCACAGGGACCGAGCACAGAGAGGGCCAGCAGTCACCATTTCTGCCTCTTACACTGCCCACTGCTGATGGAGAAGCACTGCCAAACCCAATGCAAAACAGGAGAAACCCCCTCAGAAAGGGCACTCAGAAGGCCAGAGGCAGCAGCGAGAGGGGAAGATGGGGAAGGTGGCAGCTCTGCTGGGGCTGGGGGCAGGGGACTGACGTGACCACACTGGGGAAGGGTCACAGGCACAGTGACAGCAGGCACCAGCAAGTCCCAAGCTGCAGGAGAGCCAGAGCACATCCGTGGGCAGACAAAAGGAGGGAAATGCCTCACAGGGTGAGACCGGCAGTAGCAGCTTCCCACGGGCACGGCAAAATCCAAACGCTGCTGCAGGCAGCAGCCACCCCGGGGCCCTCTGCACGGGATGCTCCCTGCACACAGCCAGCCCGAAACACCCGAGCCCTGGTGCTGGCACTGCCCCCGACAGCAGCCTCTTACCCAGACCCGTGCCGTGAAGGGCCAAGCAGGGGCCCAGGGCTAGGCAAAGGCCTGGGGGGAGCACAGCAAAGGGCTCTGGCTGTAAACCCCCGCCCCACTCCCTCGACCCACGCAGTCCCTCG